AATTGTTTTTGTCCATACCATGCAGGTCAATGGTGTCTAAAACAACACTTAATCCATTTATTTTCACTGTATGGACAAAAAGAAAACCCACTGAGACATTTTTTCAAGTCTTTCCACTAAAGAAAGTTATACAGGTTTGGAACAACATTAGCAACATAAATTCTTTGCTATAATCAGTCCTCTCAAATCTTGTTTTTGACTCAGATGGACAAACCAAACTTCACTGTGGAAAAGAACATTAAAGCAGCAGCGGGGAACCAGACTGGGACAGATATCAGCGTGCCAATTCATTTCGAACCTTGCCAGGTGGGAGACATCCAAAGCCAGCTCACCATCTCCTCAGACGTTGGAGGGGAGTATATCTTCCCTCTGTTTGGCACCTGCACCCCACCTAAACCTCAGGGTCCCCTCACCATCAGCTTAGGTTCCAGTGTCTCTATCTCCTTTAAGAATGTCTTTCAACAGGCCACCACCTTCTCCTTTCAGCTAGACAACCCTGCCTTTACTGTCAAGTGTGCAGAGACTATTTCAGCTAAAAAAACTCAGCACATACAGGTTACATTTGACGGCCCTCCTACGAGCTCCAGAGGCCCATGTCACGGAAAGCTGACAATTTCCTGCCCACGTATGGAGAGCCATGGACAGGGCATCTTCTGGGTTTACTACTTGAAAGGTTACTGTCCAGAGCTTCCTTCAGAGAAAAAAACTGCATGAAGAAGGAGGTCTGCTATTCTTTGGATAAAATGATTAATGATACTGGTTAAAAAAAAAAAAAAAAATAGTAAAAAAAAAATATATACAGTAAGTTTATTGGGGCCTGTTAAGTTTTTAATTTGTTCTTTTTACATAAAGATGCTTTTATTTATTTTAAGTCCATCTTTCAGTTTGAAGAAATATGCTGCTTTAAACAAAATACAAATGTATTGTAAAGACTCAAAATGAACAGAAAAATAAACATTTCTGTAGCACTCAGGTTTGCTGTTTGAATGACACCAGTCAAGTATCAAGTGAACTGCTGTAGCTTCAGGTGCTCCGCTTTAGGCCACCAGGAGGTGCACTTGTTGCTCTTACATCACCTTTAACTTGTAACTTTAACCCTATCTACTGAGGCATGATGGGAGGTATATTCCTTTCAGATTCATGACTCTGATACATATATTTTGTACTCCTGTGTGTGTGTGTGTGTTATATGTTTCATACTCATATGTGGATTCATCTCTCATTTCCCCAGCCATGCCTTCCTGCATGCTTTCAGGAAATAATTTCAACTCACTTATCTGGCCATATTCACATCTCAAAAACAGAAAGTGGGTGAGTGGAGTGATTGCAGGGACAGGCTGATGTTAGAAGTTACTCATTATATCTGTGCTGTTATTGTTAACTAAAACTATTAAAATGTTAATTGAACTAAAAACTGAAATATATATATATAAACTCAAATTAAAATGAGATATGTTGCATTGACAAAAATAAATAGGTACTAACTACCAAAATAACAAATTCAAATTAAATTAAAGATAAATAGAAATATTAAAAAACCTTATAAAATGTCAAAAGCTCATAACAAAGTTACTAAAACTTAAACTAAAATTAAAATGAAATCTAAAAATATTAAACTAAAAGGTCATTTAAAATATGAATAAAAACTATAATAGTATATATGTAAATTATACTATAATAACACTGCTCCATATGAAGTGTCACCAATAATTTAAGCATGTGCCAAATACTCTTTTGAGCTAGTGTGTGTGTGTGTGTGTGAGAGAGAGAAAATACTAAGCTTTATAGTATATTACAATTTTAAAATAATTAAAAATATGATTATATTGTGTTTTTACATTTTCTTTTCCTTTATTATGGTTTTATTCAGCTTGTATTTTTCTACCCGTTTAATATATAGCATACAATTTTTTATATTCACATTAACAATATACTTTTAACAACTGCTTCTAGCTGAGACATTTATGAATATATATAAATGAACAACACATATTTGATCAGTCTGCCTCAGTGTGTCCAATCTCATGTGAGAGGCACATCCCCAGTGTCTGGTTTGTCAGCCTCAAACTGAAAAAGGAGCCAGAATAACCATCCACTAGTGTCATTTTGCTCCCTGCACGTGCCACAATATACCACCGAGTTTGTTTACGTGTGGTAAAGAGAGGCCTGTCACCGCCACACACACACTGGCTGCAAGGGGTGTTGATCTGAGCATGTCCAAAGACAAGGGATTACTGCTTGTTGTAATTATCTGAGCACCCTCTGTGGTGAAGAAGGAGTAACAGGTTGCTTTGAGTTGCTCTACATTAAAGTGATGCATCCAATCACTTTTTTTCTGTTTGGCTAAATGCCTCACTATAGGATCGCAAACTGCAGGGGGGTTGTACTTGGTGCCAATTAAATAAAGGCCCTTTTAGCTGGAATGACTTAATCACCCCTCGTAAAGGGCAGGACCGGGGAGCCTTTCAACCGTCTTTCAACTCACAAAGGTCATTTCAGACCATTATAGAGACTGTAAGGTAATGAGGGATTTTCTAAGGAGTGCCCACCCCAAAAATTGCAAGCTGGCAAGTGATACCATAAAGTGATACATATCATGGCAAGTGATGCAAATATTTCGGGATGTTGATGATTAAACAACAGACAGCAACAGACTGTAGCCTATATGTGTCATAATAAACAACTTGAGTAGGTTCGGGGAGGTCAGAACTACCCATACCCTTGCAGAGCTCGGACTTGTACCACCTGACTGCTGCAGTTTCATTTCGGCTTTAATAGTGTTGACATAGAAACACATAAATCCGAGTCTGAGGACGTGAACAACTCCGAGTAGAACGTCACGGGTTGCCGTCTCTAAAATACAGTTACGACATGGCGTGAAAGCAGCATAAGCTCATTTTGGTTCAGTAGTAACTGTAAATACTGTACATACGCTGACAGGCAGGTAGGACATCAACATTTTTTGGTCCTGAGACTTCCACAGATGATATATATACATTTTGTAATATTTAGACCACTTCTATTATCGATTGCTATCAGGATGTTAAAGGTGACCTATAATTCAAAATTGAATTTACCTTGGTATAGTCAAATAACAAGAGTTCAGTGCATGGACATGACATAGAGTGAATCTCAAACTGGACTGTTTTCGCGTTCTCATTTAATTCACGTTTATGAAAAACACCCCTGAAAAACTGTCGGTTCTCCACACAATACCGACTGTGATGCAATAGTCGGGATCATTAATATGTACGCCTCCAAATATTTGCATAATGCCAGCCCTCAATGCTAGGCGGAACTGCGCAGCCGAAGCACGGCAGTTGCTCAGTGTGGATGTACACATGAACACAAAAGTATTTTTTAGTTCCTTCATCTGAGCCTCTGAAGAAACAATGGGTTAATTTTATTTTCTCTGGAAATTTCCAAACATTTCACCGAGTGTTTCCTCAACTTGGGCCAATACAGAGCTGGCCTCGGATCGAGCTACCAAGCAACACTTTCTGATGTGTAATTGTTCAAGTTCAGACAGGTAATCTTTCTCTCAAAATCGTTCAATACTGTTTATGCATCAGTAAGTCAAGCCAGTGACTAAAATATCAGCTTCACATCATTTATTTTAGTAGGATGAAAATAATCGTATTTAAATTGTGAACAAATTATATACAGAAAGCGATCAAAGAACAATCTTTCCACACAGCGCGAGTTTATCTGGACACTTGCCAAACTCGTTATGAAATCAATGATGCACGTTACTGCACAACGAAGCTCTTACTGTATTTACATCATCGTGTTTGCATTGGTGAAAGCAGAGAGAGTGCAGAAACTGCTTTGCAATGATAAGATCTTCATTCTCGCGATCAACACACTGTCATCTGCTCAATGCTCATCACGGCAACATTTTATGTGATGGGAATAGATCTAAATACTTTAAAAACATCTCACGATTCGTTAATCTCGATAGCTGTTATGGTAAAAACGTATAATAGCAGTAGTAAAAGTATTCGGGAGAGAGTTTCACATGTAATGCGTAGCTATTTCATATGCAAGCATGTCAGCCAATCACAGCAGTGGCTGCGGTTACACTGAATCCCACAGCAGACACGCCCCTTCAAACAGAGTGTTCAAATCAGAGGCTAAAAGCAGGCTAGGAAAAATGCCATTTATTTCTAAATTATGAATATTTTTTATCTAAAAAATATACTAACATTATAAGGGTAACCCAGGAAACATTATAAAATAATAAAAAAAAACATTCTAGGGCACCTTTAAAGGAATAGGTCACTTAAAAATTAAAATTCTGTCATTACTCGCCATCAAGTTGTTTCAAACCTGTATGAATTTCTTTATTCTGCCTTTTTTTTGGTCTTCCTATGGAAGTCAATGGGGTCCATCGACTGTCTGGTTACCGACATTCTTCAAAATATCTTACTTTGTGTTCAGCAGAAGAAAGAAATTAATTCAGGTTTGAAACACCTTGAGGGTGAGTAAATGATGACAGAATTTTCATTTTAAAGTGAACTATTCCTTTAAAAGAGTTTCAACAAGAATAACAAAAAGTGTTTATGAAAATTGCCCATCCTACCTTTAACTGCATATATAGAACGACCTAAATATCGTTATTCCTGTAATGATTTAAAAGCATGTAATTTGGTGTATTTATTGTCTTTTTAAGTATATAGTCGTGTAGAGGAAAGAGGAAAATAGCCTACGGATCATGTTTCCACGAATGGCAAAGATCTAAAACTGAGAGTTACTGCAGTAAACTAAGCCAAAATGGACTTTAACAACATTACCATAGTTTATTTAAAAGCTGTCTGGGATCAATGGGCATTACAGTCTATTCCCTATTTAATAGTAGGCCTAGCTTCTCTCTAAAGTGCTAATAATGCTTTTTCTCGCTCATTCTTCTGCATATGGACTAAATGGATGGCACTTATTGAACTGCTCCGGTTAGGTGTGACAGAGGGCTGAGTTTTGGGGATGTGTGCCGCCGCTGATGTCATAGAGGAGGAGGGATCGCCCCCATAGCGCGCAGCATGAACGCTCCGCGGCAAAAGGATGTGTGAACAAGCAGCGCGCTACTGCAGGGACGGTGTCCAAAAACTGCTCCACAAAGAACAAGCCAAACTCCGGGCACAGGACAGCAAAGACCAGCCCAAACCCGGGGCTCAGGACAGCGAGACAGCGACGGCTGCACAGTCCGGAAACAGCGGTTCTCAGCCCGGTGGAATTGACGGGCTCGTCCGCTGGATAGTCACCAAGATGAGCGACAATAAAAGCATCTCTACTCGGGAATATGTGAAGGAGGAGGCGGCAGTGGCTCAGGAGCAGTTCTTTGCGCCGGAGCCCCGAAAGGGCATCTCTGTCATTTTGGACGTAGGTTTTTAATATGTTATCATTGTATGTATAAAGAAACATTAAATGCATGCGCTCGTTCAACTTTATTCAATCGCTATAATTAATTAATTTAACAATTAACCAAGTTTTAAACAATTCAATAATTAGTTAAAAAAATATCTCGCCATGCTTTGATAGGCTACTCAAGCAATTACAGCAAGACAAATACACTTTATGAATTTGAATCTATTTAACTTTTTTTATCCAATCCACCCATTTTGCAGAACAGTTATGAATTTGACATTTTGCATGTCAATTATGCAATATTTTAGATTATTACACGTTTTTCTGAAGTGCTAAATTCTGATTGTTTAATCGCGAGCAATCAGTTTTTGTATTGCTAATAGCTAACCTAAATTAGATATTTCGCGTTGAACTTGCCGATGGCAAAATACCGACTCTACTCTCACGTATCACTCCGCGCACTTACTCTTTGCATATGACGCAAGTAACCTGGCGCCATCGTGCGACTAAAAATGGTTACATACCGGTACTTACGACGATAAAAAATGTTTTGTTTTAATTTTAGTATCGGCCTTGTTGTGAGCATAAAACCTTTGATCGAAGCCCAAGAGTACCCAACCAAGAACACAAAAACATCTGTTGAAAGCAATGAACCGAAAATAAACTGATGAGAGATAGCTTAAAAAATAAGTTACAGTTCTATCTAAACCCCAAATAACTAGAAAAACAATTATTTTAATTTACAGCAATTTAATTTATAATATTTAAATTGATGATGTAGGCTTAGGCTATTTTTGAAGTGTATGTATGAAGTAATGGACTATTTTTCTTAGCGGAAGCTAAGAATCTACAATCTAATATAATAGTAGTAACTCAATCAATATTTGATGTACAAGACAAGTAGTTATTAATCTGCTAAGTAGCCACGTAATAAGTCAGATAATATACTGTCAGATGGTCATTACTGCAAAATAAACCCCGTTCAGGGTGTGACAGTCCTCCTTATCTCCCTAATGTGACTCTTGTGTGCACTACACACACATTCACAGTTGTATGGAAATACTGTTGAGCTTTTACTATGTGCAATGAAATATTACACCTAATTGTAAAATAATATGAACACACATTCTGGTACAAAACAGCGGTGATACATCCAGCAGTAGCTTTCAGCATTTTTAGGTTATACAACAGTTTTTGCTCTGATTTTAAGGCTGTCTCAGAGAAGCATACCCGAATCTAAATAATTTATTGCGCTTTTCCTGTGAGCCCGGCAGTTATGCTGTGTGCTGTGGCAAGGTCTCAGCAGTATTGATTTAGTAGGTCAAAGTATTGCCTCAGTATTGTTCATTGCTGCTAGATAATTATATGAATTTGATGGTCATACCTCTTGAGATTTCTACGTTGCTTTTTGGGGAGAAGTTAAAACATTTAAGAGAGTGATAAGTAGTTCAGTCCCAGACCCAGATAGCCTACAGTCTCAGGTAACCAGACTAGAAAGTAAAGGGGACAAAAACTAATTAAAAACCTCAGAAAAAGACCAGAGGCACCAATGCACCCTAGTATAAATACAATAGTGAAGGTGGAGGAAATTAATAAGGGAGGGGTTAAGCAGATAATGAGGTGCTGTAGATAATTTGTCTTTTATGGATAGTGAGCGCTTGTACATGGTTTCTCGTGGAGACTTCGGTATGGAGCTCAGGTGCTTGTAGGGGAATTGATTTTCCCCTATGCTTTGTGAGAGAATTCCATTACTTAACTCAATCTATCTCTACCAAATGACACGTCTGCTGCCACCTCTGTTCCAGGATCAGCCTGACCAAGCCTTAACACTGTATTGGTAAACAACTGAGCCACAGAGCGTCATTTATCGTTACTTTTCATTTTAAAAGTGTCTAAAGCAGCATGCAGGTGTAAAGACCACTGTTTCCATTTCAGGAAGCTTTCGATTCACCGGCTAGACAAGTTATGGATTCAAGGTGTGTTGAATTCTCTCAGCACGGCTTCCCCAAACCAGACAGTGAAAGTGTCTAAGTGTGTTTCACAGTATTCATGTCTCAGGTCCCAGACCTCATCTGGCTTAAGGAAGTAATTAAGTCAGTTTAATGTTTTTTGAACACTTCTTTTCCACTGGGGTTGAATGCTGTGTACTAAATTACTGTAGCGCTCTCGTTTATGCTTTAAAAGCGAGGACGTTAGGCATAGAAGTCGGCATGAAACGGAAGTTGCAAGAGTCTTTTCTTTCCTATTGTGACGTACAGTATATCCGAATGAAATGGCTTCTCGAACAAGAAAAAATGTCAGGCGGGACTTGATTTTCTCCGTTGTGATTGGATGGTTGTGGTTTGCTATTTCTGTGATGTCATGTGAGTGACAGGTTGTCCCACCCTCGCACAAGTAAACACGTCATCAGAGAAGAAAAGAGATGTCGCTGCAAAAGGGAGGGGAAGATATTTTTTATTAAAGATTAGGAGGGCACATGAATTAAAAAAAATAATGATCTGCACGGACGGATAACTCAATTTATAATAAGTACTGCAATATTCCATAAAAAACAGGAATTGTCAAGTTTGATTTCATGGTGACTTTAATGTACATGTGTGAGAACAGATAGATGATCAAATGGTGATTGCACTTGACATTTACTAAAGACTTCATCGCACTATTGACTTGAACTTTAAAATACAAATATACTTGGCATTTGTTCAGTGAATTGGATTTGATCCAAAGCACAGAGAATCAATCCAACTGACTTAGCAAGTCTAAATGTGAGTCCACATATTAAACAAGTCCATTCATTGAGTCACACTCTCTCCATTCAAACACTCTTTATCAATCTTTATCATTCTTTGCCTAATACCTCACTCTCTTTCACTCATCGTTATATCTCCTTTTGCCAACACAAAGAATCAGTGTTATTAAGAGTCTTTTAGCCGTAAAGAGAAACTTGGAAACAACCGTCAGTACGTTTATATGGACAACAATATTCCGATATTAAGCCGATTAAGACAATACTCTGTCTCTGATTAATAAACTACCATGTAAACAGGGATTTCTGATTTCCTTAATCCGGCTAAAGTCATACTCGAAGAAAACACAAATCGAATTAAGACGTGTAGTAGGCCTATTCCTATTTCAATGCATTATCGAAGTGCATTATTGACATGTACACATCTTAAAGGTGCAGTACTATTAAAGTCGTGAGGGAATTTTTGCCGCATTTTGTGACAGGACACATACACACACGGCAGTGGTCAACCGTTTGACGTCTACCGTTTGATGAAATCGTCTATTTGCACGTATAGCATGACAAATAAATAATTGCACTTGAAGCTTTCGTAAAATTAAAACACCCTAAACATATGGTACCAATAACGAAGACGAACTGTATGTTGACACGGAGGGAACGTCAGACGGCGTGGGATGGTGACGTAATGATGTGTGCCTTTAATCTTTCTATAACGCAAAACAGGTACCATAAAAGGAATATTCCAAAACCAATTCTTGTAAACACCTTAATCAGAATATTGTCTTATTCAGAATAAGGTCAATAATTAGATTACTGTCATAAAGTAGAGCCTAATTTGTTCCTGTGTTGTCTGGATTTAGTCCAATTGCAGTAATTTGATTTGATTATTGTTCTGCTGGATAATGACATGTTAGTTTTGGTTTACACTCTCTAGGTGTTCATTGTTTTGTAGCTGAGAAACCAATGAACAACTAAAGAGTATTTTTCTCAGCAATGCTTTTGTTTTGTTTTCAAATACATGATTACAAAAACCATGATTAGCTGTATGAATATGTAATTTAACTGTACTATTCATTTAGTTTCTCCCACTGTAAGTGTATAGTAGCTCTCTTTTCTCAACTTGTAGCTTTGTAGTTCACATGAACACTTTTGTGATTTTTTTTGTAGCTGTCCCCTTTTCCTATCATAAATCTTGCGAGGTACAAACAAACTGGGTCACCTACATTAGGTACCTTCATATTGTCAGACCGTACAAATGGTTTTTAACAACCGTATCGCTTTTGTGCATCACCTTTATTCTCAAACAGCTCAGGAAGATAATGATGAAGAAAGGATGATAGGTCACACTTTATATTAGATGTCTTTAACTACTATGTACTTACATCAAAATATATAATATATAAGGTGCAGTATAATCGAAATCTGAGATACTCTTCTGTGATAACAATTCTTTGGTTCCTGTCGTTCAGTGGTTTCCAACTGGTTTTGCTGAGAATCCGACACTACAAAAATAAACAATCTTTCTTTTCTTTTTTTAAAATCTAATATGGATGTTTTATTAATACTACCATGCACTTAATTGGCCCAACAATATGCACATTTTTAACATGATACACTACCATTCAAAAGTTTGGGGTTAGTAAGATTTTTGTTTGAAACAAATTATTAATTTAATTCAGCAAGGACATGTTAAATATATCAAAAGTGACAGTAAAAACTTAACCTGTTATAAAAAATGATCTATTTCAAATAAATGCTGTTCTTATAAAAAAAATATTAAGCAGCATAATTGTTTTCAACTGAGATGATAATAAGAAATGCTTCTTGATCACTATATCAGTTTATTAAAATGATTTCTGAAGGATCACGTGAGTGACACTAAAGTCTGGAATAATTAAATCAAATGAATAAACAACCAAACAATTATATCTAATTCTTCCCAGATGTAAGGTAGCCAAGCAGGAAATATTTACTCTTATTTTTAATCAAATAAATCCACACAAACCATGCTTATCCTTGATGCACGTGAATTGCTTTCTCGTCCAGTTAATCCTATTAATTTTTTTTAAAATTTAAATATGCATGATTCTATGGTTATAGTTTTAGTTGTTTGCATTCAACTTTGTTTTTTTAATTCACAGTCCACGAAATAAGAGCAGATCTGCGGCAACCTTTGGGTCATGAACCTCCAGTTGAGAACCACTACTGGCGATTAATGCTGCAGACACTTTTGCTTTAAGATATAAAACAGCTAGGAAGATTAAATACCAATAGTGCCTCTCGAGCGCTTTGTAAAATACATTACAGTATTGATCGAACATGGCTAATGTCCCTGTTCCTACAATCACTCTGCCCTTTTATTGGCCAAGAATATGCTTCTAGTTCAAAAGAAGGAACCCCCCATTGTTCCTATTCTACTGCAGATGTTTCAGTGGTTGTCCTGTGTGGCTTTTGAGTTTGTTTTGTGATGGTGAAGCATCCTGACAGGTGGAATGCTGTTAGCTGTCAGGAATGAATGAAGCAGCTGGCTCATCCAATTGAGAAGTGACTTAGACCATCAACAGAAGGTGATCACTCTATTGAAGCAGATCAAAATGTGCGCTGTCAATGCGTGTTTCAATTATTGGATGTTTGGCGCACACTTCCTCCGTGTCATGCGTGTCCAATCACAAACATGCAGCTCCATGCTTGCTTGTGCAGCCAGTACACTTTAACATCCAGATCTGATCACAACCAATTCATGCTTCATGTATTTATTTATTAGGAAAATGAGAAGGGCTGAATGGATCGACTGCTGTAAAATTAGCTCGTAGTGAGTAACGCTTCCCAGCACATTCTATTGACTGTGCTTTTCCTTTGTTACAAGAGAGTCTTAAGTGGTCCATTTCACATCTGACTGGACAGTGTGATCAGGTTGCTCTTACAGATATAAGCAACTCGCTCAATCTCTCACAAGTTCAATCAAACACTTCGGCAATACACAAACTTGCTTAGTCTTGATTAAAAAACAAAAAGAAACTTAACGGTTATAATGTAATTTGTGCTGGTGGTTTTATAAATGGAATGGAAGGATTTATTGCACCATGTTAAGGGCTGAGGTATCATGCAATTGCAAACAGCTTATCTATAGAACCACCTCCTCCTTAAGTTGACTGACATTGAACCCTACAGAAAGACATTTTTTAATTACTTTTATCAGTCTTTTTTTCTAATACATACAGTCCTTTACTTTTCTTCAGCCGCTATCTTAAAATATTTATGTTACTGTATTTCTGTCAAGACAACTCTCGGGAGATTGGTATAAGAATAGAGATTGGCATGGTAATGCATATGGCAATGTTAATGTATTTGGTCTTGGCAGAATAGATCTGCTACACTGCTGCTGCTGCAGAGCAAGTACAGAGACTTCTACTGCCAATACATTTACAGTCAATGCTGTGTGCATATAAGACATCCTGCTGCTGCTGCTGCACATGTAAGACATGAAATAACCCCATAGCAGATCTATACAGGTGGAGCTGGGGAAGGTGGAGGGTTTCTGAAAGCGCGCTACAGACTACCAGTATTTGAATGTTGAGCTGCAGCTCATTGGCCGCTGATGCAACAGCAACCAATCAGCTGTGCTATGTAGATAAGGATGTGATCGCAACCAAATTGAGTTAAGGACCTATCAGCCTGCGCCATCTAGAGTTTCATGCCAGAACTTGGTATGTACATTTAATATTAGTTTTAGAGGAGCTATAAGCCCCTTTTACACAGCGCTTTGAACCCGGCAAATTGCCAGAGTGCCTTCTGTGTGAACGCAAACACGACCGGGATCGATGCCGGGTTGGACCCGGAACGCGCGCTGTGTGAACAAAAGCCAGAACCAATGCCGTATAAGGGGTGTGTCGTAGTGAGGATTCACGAGCCTTTGCAATGACATAGTTATCGTGCGACTCAGTTACTCTAGAAGAAAGTTTGTGTTCGTCATCGATACAAGAAAGAACGAAAAAATGTCTGCAAACTGGACTGAAGTAGAGACCCGTCACATCCAACTTCACACGTCTTTCCGGAACATACACGGGTTGTGTGTGAACGCGCTCTCTGATTCCGGCAAATCACTGGCAGTGTGAATGAAGCAAAATAAAAAACAAACCCGGGTCAAATCCCGGGTCACTTTATCCGTGTATTTTCCGTAATCTCTGTGTGAAAGGGGCCTTAGAGAGTCCTAGAGACTTTGATTAGCAGTTGGTCAGGTTTTTGGCTAAATAATTTTCAAGTTTAGGTGAATTCAAATGATAATGTGAATTAAAATTATTTGTATTAATATACTGTATTTCTCTCTCTCTCTCTGTGTGTGTGTGTTTCATTTCAGATTTTCCGGAGAGCTGATAAGGATGGTGAGTGTAATCTGCTTCATATCATGTCACGTTAAATCATTAATGTGAATGTGATTCTTAGACTCTGTTCTATTCTTAACATGAAATCAGAGTCGACCCTGTTTACTTTAATACACAATTCCCATCTCTTCCATGTACACTGCTGTTCAAAAGTTTTGTTTCAATAAGATTTTCTTTAATCTCTTATGCTCACAAGGCTGCATCATTACTCCAGTCTTCAGTGTCACACGATCTAATATGCTGATTTGATGCTCAGGAAACATTTCTTATTATTATTATTAATCTGGAAATAAACATAATTTATTTGAAATGGAAAACTTTTGTAAAATTATAAATGCTTTTACTGTCACTTTTGATCAAATTTGTTTCCTTGCTAAATAAAAGTGGTAATTCAAAAGTTTAAAAAAAATCTTACTGACCCCAGACTTTATGGATGGTGGTGTATAATCCACAGAATACAATACAGCTATTATAGCTTTACACAACACTGAAGATCTTGACCATCTGTCCGCACGCTACTGACAGCTGAAAAGACAGAACTTGAAGAAACATTCCAGAAAACACGACGGAAATGTGCTGCCCTACAAATAATCTTTTAAATAATTCCCATTTGCGGGGCTTATTAAAAGTTCAGTTGTTTTCATTCTCAGATGCCTCACCAGTATTATTTCTGCACAGTATTATAACATCATTTTAATGAGATATCATCTGCTAGGAAAATCAATACGTAATGCACCAACTAGTGATTGCATTTGCTAGATGTTCTAAACCAAGTTTTCTTATATTACAATGCTAATTAAATTGCTGCAAAAATTCCAGATGTATTTACTAATTGATTTTAGATTAGTCTCATTATGTAGATTCGCCTCTTTATCCATATTCATACCCTGTGTCCACAAAACAATTATGGTTATGAAGAGAGGCCCCGTTACATATTTTGCAATGCTAAAATTCATGTACTGTATGAGAAGATTTATATACATTTAATCCAGTTGTATTGTAATGCAGTTCTCTATATGATTCCCGATTAGCCTTGAGCTCTTGTCCGTCGTCATGGGCTCAGACTGAGTCACATCTGGTCTCAACTTTTGGTTTGAGATGAAATATACATATACAAAATATTTTTTCTTTGTTTTAGCTTTCTTGAAAAAGGAAAACTCCATGCTGTGAAACTAGTTATTGCACCAGGGCTTAAACAAGAGTCGATACAAATAGCAGAGAGAGAAAACCTGCAACAAACCTTGTTAAAAGGAGTAGTGGCTATTTGATGTGTGATGCTTGTGCCGTTTGTGTTATTTTTAAACCACTCCCAGGGGAGCAGCTTGGTGACAGTTTTAATGAGAGAGAGAGAGAGAGAGAGAGAGAGGGTGGGGGAGAAAGAAATAACAAGAATCGGGACCACAGGAGATGGGTGCCATGTTTTGCTACACTTTGGTTTTCAATCACACAATGTCTAACAAGAAACAAAGCACAGCAGTCTAATTTACCTCCAGCGTTTAGAACTAAACTCCTAGGGGTGAAACATTATTATCCTCTTTCTTTACGAATAGGGCTGCATGCATTAAAGGGATGATTCTCCCCCAAAATAATATTTTCTCCTCATTTACTTAAACTGTCATTTTAAACCAATTCTACCAGTGGCACTAGGGGAACCGTTTCACCGTTTGTATCACTCTGCTTGCCGGATCTCTCTCACAGTGAGTGTCATGCCGGATGACCAAACCACCATCATTTTACAAATACTACTGTTGTGTTGTTGTGTCACAGAATGTAGCTTTAAGAGTTTTTTTAGGCAAGTATGTAATCATTTAGACCTTAGATATGGGACTTATATAAACATAGTGCATATTTTACAATTTGCTTAGACATTTTCGAAGATGTGAGCTCCATCATATATATATATATATATATATATATATACACTCACCGGCCACTTTATTAGGTACCCCATGCTAGTAACGGGTTGGACCCCCTTTTGCCTTCAGAACTGCCTCAATTCTTCGTGGCATAGATTCAACAAGGTGCTGGAAGCATTCCTCAGGGAGTTTGGTCCATATTGACATGATGGCATCACACAGTTGCCGCAGATTTGTCGGCTGCACATCCATGATGCGAATCTCCCGTTCCACCACATCCCAAAGATGCTCTATTGGGTTGAGATCTGGTGACTGTGGAGGCCATTTTAGTACAGTGAACTCATTGTCATGTTCAAGAAACCAATTTGAAATGATTAGAGCTTTGTGACATGGTGGAAGTAGCCATCAGAGGATGGGTACATGGTGGCCATAAAGGGATGGACATGGTCAGAAACAATGCTCAGGTAGGCCGTGGCATTTAAACGATGCCCAATTGGCACTAAGGGGCCTAAAGTGTGCCAGGAAAACATCCCCCACACCATTACACCACCACCACCAGCCTGCACAGTGGTAACAAGGCATGATGGTTCCATGTTCTCATTCTGTTTACGCCAAATTCTGACTCTAACATCTGAATGTCTCAACAGAAATCGAGACTCATCAGACCAGGCAACATTTTTCCAGTCTTCAACTGTTCAATTTTGGTGAGCTCTTGCAAATTGTAGCCTCTTTTTCTTATTTGTAGTGGAGACGAGTGGTACCCGGTGGAGTCTTCTGCTGTTGTAGCCCATCCGCCTCAAGGTTGTGCGTGTTGTGGCTTCACAAATGCTTTGCTGCATACCTCGGTTGTAACGAGTGGTTATTTCAGTCACTGTTGCCCTTCTATCAGCTCGAACCAGTCTGGCCATTCTCCTCTGACCTCTGGCATCAACAAGGCATTTCCGCCCACAGAACTGCCGCTCACTGGATGTTTTTTCTTTTTCGGACCATTCTCTGTAAACCCTAGAGATGGTTGTGCGTGAAAATCCCAGTAGATTAGCAGTTTCTGAAATACTCAGACCAGCCCTTCTGGCACCAACAATCATGCCACGTTCAAAGTCACTCAAATCAACTTTCTTCCCCATACTGATGCTCGGTTTGAACTGCAGGAGATTGTCTTGACCATGTCTACATGCCTAAATGCACTGAGTTGCCGCCATTTGATTGGCTGCTTAGAAATTAAGTGTTAACGAGCAGTTGGACAGGTGTACCTAATAAAGTGGCCGGTGAGTGTATATATATATATATATATATAACAAACTTTTTTAATTTAGAATCGATTAATCGATTTGACAGCACTAATTTTTATTTAACTAAAATCCTGTACTATAACTAGCGCTGCTTTTGTACTTTTCACTGAACGGTTTGCTTGTTTATTTCCTATTGTACAAACTTCTTTATAGTTTTATAATGGCTAATATTGTTTATTTAAATATTATTTTTCAACAAGTAATATTTTTATATAAATAACATGCCATATTTGGTATTGAGAAAGTTAGCGATTGTTATTTTATTTTGCATAAATGTGGTGCGCAAGTAATAACAGTTTTCATTTAAGTTAACTATATCTTTGAAATACATTGTTTAAGGATTAATTTATCTTACAGAATAAACCTCAATCATATTTTCGAGCAAACAACACACAGTGTCATGCCCCCCCGCCACCCGCCACATATCTCTTACGGCAGGAGTGATTGGTTTCATCATGCGTGTGGAGCAGGCAGAGAGAATCATTAACCTCTGTTGTGTAGAGGAAATGACATGCTCTTTTGGCCTGAGAGTTTTTATGCAGGCTTGGTCTGGCAGGCTAAGCCTCCTGTTTTTTGTATACCGTACCGTGTGTGTGACCATAAATCTGCAAGGGCTGTTGACACGAGAGCAGACTGGCAGAGACCTGGATGACCCATCGCCTTATCTGCATCTGCAGTTCGCCCACCCTAAATAAATCACTCATTTTAAGGGCGAGAAAGAGCGGTACGGGTACCTGTAATGGAAATTGAATTGGTACTAGCTGTTTTAAATTCTGTACTGTTTCTCTGTGCAATGCTTTTCACATTAAAAAGATCTCACATGGACGGAGAGAGCAGAAGTGCTAGAGATAGAATGAGGGAGTCATTGGCAGATAAAAGACACATTTAGGAACCAAATTAATATTTTTCCTCATTGACAAATTACAGAATCACTGTGTGCCGTGATAAAGGGAAGTTTAGCCCTTAAAGGGATAGTTCACCCAAAAATGACTCGCACTCATGTCTTTCCAAAACCGTAAGGTTACATGCTTGGCTTGCACTGTAACGAAAGGATACAGTATATGACGTAACCGATTTCCGACTCATTGTAAATGTTTTTGTCGCAGCTAATCTGTGGGTTAGAACGTATAATGGGCGCTTCTCTCCTCTCTTGTACTCTCCCCCTCTCTGCTCTAGATTTGCGGGTTCTCACTGGCAGTAAATGAGTGTTTACGTGTGTGCTCACTGAAAATAAACATGCTGACAGCAACCTCCCGCACAGCATGCAAGCATCAAGGCTTCCCTGCTCTAGATCTTATGAATCATTAAAGTTGTGTAAAAATGGCATGGTGGGTAAATAATGTCTCAGGATAGTTCTCAGTCATGAATATTCCTGGTATTAATCTTGTAGTGTGTTTACTGGACAGTGTACTGCTAAATATGAAAGACTTGAAGGATTTGCCGCTGAGAATGTGGATTGGTTTTTACTACAGATGAATGCTAACTTTATGTACCTTCAGTGTAGTCCTGCATCGTCTCATGGAGCTTTTGGACACCACATGTCTGGATCCTCACGAGGCCGACTCTGAAGCTATCGCTGCAAAGAACAGCAACACATGTTGTCGTCTCTTTGGATCAATATAGATGCACATTGCTTGGTTCTCTTTAATATTTCATCATGATTCAGTTGTTTGTGTGGATAAGCAGCTTTGTCCTCATGCGAAACAAACAGAAAGTGAAGCCACTTTGTCTGATTAAACTTTAGGTTACTTCAGTATCATGTCCATTTGCTCCCACCCAGAGCGCTTTGTATTAAATTACATTAACCTTTGTGCTGTATAAACTGCCTCATATATTGGGTAAGAATGATGTGCAT